TGTGCCAGATGTTGCACTAAGAGCTTTACGTACATTATCTCAGGGACCAGTTGGTTTATGGAAGTGTGTACCATTACTGTGTACATTACTATGCCTGGATATTTTTATGCATCCGTTATTCTAAGTAAAATTTTACATTGAATTTCCTCTCCTAATACATAATAAAAGCCATTGAGCTTGACTTCCTTGGTGGTTAGCAAATGTCCTCTCTCTTGATGGATTGGGATACACGAGGGTCCACTCCCCATCCTCTCCTGTGTTGGAGAGAGCAGCACACCCGTCCATGCAGGGCAGACTCTCCCACCTATTCTTTTCCTTCCTGAAGGTTTCCTCACTCTCCAGTGTCTTCTATTTCTCCATTCCTGCAGCTGCTGGTGGAGATTTTAGTTCTACTTTTTTTTTTGGCTTTGGGGCATTTCTGTTTCTTTCTTATGAGCTTAGCTATTTATTTAAAAATTGGTTTGCTGATTTTATCCATCATTGGCTTTTTTTTTTTTTTGGTGGTTGGGGGGTGAGGGTGGAATTGCCATATTGTGAGAAATGCTATTTCTTAGATAATGAAAGAAGTTGATGAATAATCTCTTTCAGCTGTCATATATTGGAGCTGTGCCATTCTCCCTCTACTAATTTTTTACCACAGCAAGACTTTGCTACTTATCTTGTCAGAAATATGGGGGCAATCTTTGAAATGGATTCCTTTGTAAAATTTTGGGGGATTTTGCAGCTTGAATCTGTTGAAGAGCTGGAGTCTTGGTTTTACTGAAAACCATTTTACAGAAAATGTTTTTTCTCTATGTGTTCAGGACGACATCCAGGCTTGGATACTCCCCTGACAGCCCCACCTCCACACACACACACACACCCTGGACCAGATTGGGAGTCCCCAGACGGCATTGGCGAGGGTATTGTTCTCAAGTGAATCAGCAGTCTACAGCGGTGGTAACAGGCACTGGTGTCATCTCTCGTTGTCTGGAACACACTAAACTGGCTTATTTTACCACCGTTTGATAGCAGATTTAATTTTACTCTGTAAAACTCTCCTGAATAAAGCAGTTTATTTTTCAGCTAGAGACCCATCACTGCACTGGGCTTTACCCCGGTAGAATCAGTGGTAGGTCTGTTTTGCCTGCAAATCTCTGATTACTGTCCAATTAAATTAGATGCCTCCCTTCGGTGATCATTGATTGACTATTCCTTAATTTCCCATTTATTATTTCCCATTTCAGTTGTTGTAGATGAAGTTGATTAAACAATTTTGTGCAATCAGGAATAGCGTTTCATTTTCAGTGTTATCAATGCAGAGCCTGGAAGTTTAGGGGGTGAATAAAAACAAGCTGGTGGTGAGCTGGTGTTTGGGAAAGGAGAGGGAACTTAGTAGGAAACCTTCTCCCAGGTGAGGTAGATTCAGCATTCAGGGTTTTCACAGAGGGACTCTCAACCAGTAGAAGTTGGGAACCAAGATATCAAATGATCGTGGAGCACACAGCTGGTGTGTTGGTTTCCCAGACCTGCTGTAACAAATTAGCAACAACTTGGTGGCTTAAAACAACAAAAAATTATTCTCTCACAGTCTGGAGGCTAGACATCTGAAATCAATTTCACTGGGTCCAAATCATGGTGTTGGCAGGGCGACGGCCCTCCCTTTGGAAACTCTAGGTGAGATCCGGACTTTGCGTCTTTCGACTCTGGTGGCTACTGGCATTCCTGGGTCTGTGGTCACATCAGTGTCTCCTTCTTCACGTTGTCTTTTCCTCTGTGTGTGTTTCTATCTGATCTTCTCCCTCTTTTAAGGACGTTTCTGATAGCATGATGGCTCACCCACTTAATCCAGGACAATCTCCCTATCTCAAGACTCTTAACTTCATCCTGTCTGCACAGACGCTTTCTCCAAATTAGATAAAATTTACAGGTTCCCGGGGTTAGGATGTGGCCTTTCTTTGGGATGAGGCATTTTCCAGCCCACCACACTGGATCCACTTCACAAAATGCCTCGGGAAGACCACCCAAGGCCAGGGCTGGAGTGGATTCCATTGGGATGTTGCCCTAGCGCCTTGCATCACATCATTGAAATGCCCTTTCACCTTTGAGGAAGGGAGGATGATGGGCTGGAGGAAGAGCAAGAAGGGAGAGAAGTTGGGAGAAGTGTTTAGAAATGCTGCACCTGCCCAGAAGTGGGAAAGTACAGGAAAAACCACCTTAAGCAGGACCTGGTGTATTGGAACTAGGCACTGATTGTTAGGATTGTGATAATCGTATATTTGTGTCCTACCTCGTGGAAGGAGCCACCTGCACTCTGCTTTTCATTCAGAGAGGTCCTCATTGAAGACTTTTGCTAACCAGTTACTGGTGTTTCACGGGATTTTGCTGTGGTAGAGATCTTGGAGGTACAAACAACTGGCATAGGCTGGGAGTGGGGCCTGGGAGGGAGCTAGCGGTAACTCTGCTCCCTGCGGGTCACACGTGGACATGGCGGGAGCAGGAGAGGTGCAGGTCAATTAGGACTCGTCAGAAGCCCCTAGACTGCAACAAAGAGGGAAAGTGAGGAGCAGAGAGAGGCTGTAGGCAAACGGTGGTGGTATTTTCCCGACCGCCAGGAGGGTCTCACGATGCCTGAGAACGTTTTCCTGAGGAGCAGCATCAGATAGATTCCTTTCTTTTTTTTCAGAGGAGATATTAGTCTCCCACAGTTGCTATTACAAGTCACAAGGTTGGTGGCTTAAAGTAACAAATTGATTCTCCCACAGTTCTGGAGGCCAGAGGTCTAAAATCAGAGTATGGGCAGGGCTGTGCTCCCTCTGGAGGCTCTAGGGGAGGATCCGTCCTGGCCTCTTCCAGGCTTTGGTGGCTCTAGGTATCCCTTGGCTTATGGCTGCATCATTCCAGTCTCTGCCTCCTTATTCCCATGGCCTTTTCCTCTGTGTATTTGTGCAAAAGTTCCCTCCGCCTCTATTTTATAAGGACACTTACGAGGATATTACATTTAGGGCCCACCCAGATAATCCAGGCTAATCTCATCTGAAAATCCTTCACTTAGTAACATTTGCAAAGACCCTTTTCCCAGATAAAGTCACATTTACACGATCCAGGGATAAGGACTTAATATCTTTGGGTGAGTATTATTCAACCTAGTACAGGCAATTAAAGAGGTAAATAAATTATCCTAACAATAATTATGTGCTGTGTTAAAAAGGCAGATTGTATTACTGCCGGGCTTTTAGACTGTTGTTTATTCATAGTACTTTTAAGATTTCGTTGCCAAAGGGTGTAATTTTTAAAACATTGCAACACAGAGTCAAGCAAAGACAGAACCTAACTGTACTTTTCAGCATCTCTTTTTCTCCCCATCTCCCCAAGAGAATGGCGATATATATGTGTATACATACATATATGTATATATAATTTCAGGGGGGTCAGGAATAAGAAGAGTTTTTAAAGCTTTTAGTCTAGCATCTCTGGAACTAGTTGGGGCCCAGCCACAGCCAGTGTATAACTTTAGCTTCTGTGGGCTGGGAGCCTCAGTCTCAGCTGACTTGGGATGGTCAGGCCGCCGTGGTGAGGCACGTGTGGGCAGAGGCTCCCCCAGCTTGTCTGGTCCCCTTGGCTGATTGTGCCTTTGCTACTCATATTTTTGGGTTATGGGTTTGAACTTCCCTATTAAGATGAGACTCTGTTCTCCAGGGAGAAATAATAGATTAAGCTGCTGATAGCTATTGCTTTGATGATTCCATTGGTTAGTTTCCTATTGGTCACTTCCTGCTTATCAATTACTGTGCGCCATGAAGGGAGAGTGGTCCCTGGTTAAGCAGTGAGTGCATTAAATCTTACTGCAGACGCTAGTTGTGTAAGGCACTTAGGGCAAGAGGGTTTAGGGGAATCTCTATAGAAGGAAGGTGGCATTTGAGTTAGCCTCTGCAGGACGTGGGGGGGGGGTTGATCTGAGTGGTTGAAGGGGGGGGGCAGGAGTACTTGGAGAGTGACAGAATGCGTGTCCTGGGGGAGTGAGGGAGGTGAGGTTCTGAATGAACAAGACTGGTGGCTTGGGAACAGAGAGGAAGGAAAGGAGGGGAGGCCGTGGGCAGAAGGCACCGGCCTCGTGTTATTGCTAGAAACATTAGAGAGAGGAATGAAGATATAAGAAAGAATGGGGCAAAAACAGAGGTGTGTCTTAGGGCCTGGAGAGTGGAGAGGTTACTTCCCCCAAAGGAAAGGGGAGAACTGGGGTTGGGTGCAGATTTGGGTAGAAAGACAATCTTTCCTTCCCGTCCAACGTCCAACTCTTCTCCTTCCCTCTCTTAACACCCTCCCTCCCACCCTACTATTTATGACAAGTTGATTGTGGGGAAATGGCTCAGGAGGAGCTTGCTGTGGGGGCTGAGTGGGACCCTGGGGCAGCAGCAACAGAGGCTGGGCCCTGACAGCGAGGCCAAGAGTTCCCTTGCCAGGTAATTCAGCCAGGGAAAGAGGTGCCCATTGGAGGCAGAGACAGCCTGGCCGAAGACCTGTGCAGGGCAGAGAAAGGACAGGTGAGGCCAGGGGTGCTTTATCCTCGAGTAGTGCATCCTCCAGAGCCCTACTCATGCCTGAGAACTGAAGGTGGGGATGGACTTAGCTGTTCCAGAAGTGGAGGTGTGGTGGACCAGACCTGGAGGGGATGGTGATGAGTCCTGAGAGGGAGTGGGAGAGCCCTTTGCTCAGGAGAAATTGGTATCACCCCCGCCCTGTCCTTTGGAGAGACAAGTTTGACAGTAACCCTTCACTGAAACTTCTAGACAGCTATTCAAGTTTGCTTAATAAGTAAATTCCAGTCTCTTCCTTAATAATTGAATTTTTTGATTTTTCCAAATGTTACATTTTTTTTTCTTCGATGGTATTTTAAATAAGGTGTTTCTCCTGCTGCAAAGAAGTAGCTATGTATTTTCCTAGGGTTCTTGTGAGTAGTCGAGGAATAACCTTTGCCTGCAATGTGTCTGATAACAGCCATGCTCTTGGTTTCTCCTTAGGTAGCCATAAAAGTCATTGATAAGAAGAGAGCCAAAAAGGACACCTATGTCACCAAAAACCTGCGGCGAGAGGGGCAGATCCAGCAGATGATTCGCCACCCCAACATCACACAGCTCCTCGATATCTTAGAGACGGAAAATAGCTACTACCTGGTTATGGAGCTGTGCCCAGGGGGCAACCTGATGCACAAGATATATGAGAAGAAGCGGCTGGAGGAGCCCGAGGCCCGCAGATACATCAGGCAGCTCATCTCCGCAGTAGAGCACCTGCACCGGGCTGGGGTGGTCCACAGGTAAGGGCCACGCCGGGCTGATGATCGCTGACCCTGTGCTTCAGCACACTCCAAGCAAGGCTGAGTAATTGCAGACTGTTCTACAATTCCCCTATATCTTGTTCCATGGTATTGTTTTGTGAGTTGGGTTATTGCCAGTAAGGGAGTTCAAAGAGTGGAATATGAAGCCAGTGTGCCTGGGCTTACATCCTGGCTCTGCCCTTCAATAGTTGTGTGATCTTAGGTAAGTCACTTAACCTCTCTGATCCTTGGCCTCTTCATCTGTAAAATGGGAGTAATAATGACAACCTCTCCCTTGGTTGGTGTAAGAGTCAGTGAGTTAATATATGGAAAGAGCTTGGACTGGTGTCTGGTATATGGTAAGCACCATGTCAGTGTTAGCTGCTGCCTTATTCTTATTTGCAAACACATGAGGTCCATTGCTCAGGTGCCTGAAAGAAGAACCAGTGTTACATGGCATGGGATTATTTTCAACTACTGCCAGGGAAGGTGCTTTCATTGCATTTGCTTCACACATGCTAGCTGCTGAATAGCCATTTGATTTAACTGAATTGAATCACCATTCGAACTGTGAACTTGCGCTTGAAATCAAGGGGTGTTTCCCATAAGTCAAATCAACCTTCCAAATAGTTGTGAAAATCAAACTTGTTTTTACCAGCCTGTGCTCTCCTGGGGAGGGGCCCCACAAAGAAAGTGAATGAAAATAGCTTTCTTAGCAATGTTGCCTTTGGTGAAGGGTGCCTACTTTTAGTACTGTATGAAAAAAATAAAATTAAATTAAAAAATGAAAGTGTCCTCTTTTCCTCCCAAGAAAGTGTTGGCTTCACCAGTGAATATGTGGTTCTTCCTTTGTGGAATTATAATCAATGCAATTATTCTAGGTTGTTGGGAAAAATTAATCATGTTTAATTGGTTCTCATTTAAAAAATCAAGATCAGGGTTTAAAATAGGTGTGTGCACACATACGGTTAAACATTTTTTTAATTAGATATAATTTACATACCATAAAGTTTCACCATTTAAAAGTGTACAATGCAGGGCTGGCTGGTTAGCTCAGTTGGTTGGAGTGTGGTGTTGAAAACACCAAGGTCCAGTGTTCCATCCCTGTACTAGCTAGCTGCTAAAATAAATAAATAAATAAAATAAAATAAAACTGTGATGCAGCTTATTTAAAGAAAAAGTGTACAACCCAGTGGTTTTTAGTATATTCACAGAGTTATTCAACCACATCACCACTCTATAGCTTTAGAGTATTTTTATTACCACCAAAACAAACCCTGTTCCCATTAGCAGTCACTCCCAAGTCCCCCCTTTTGCAAGCCCCTGGCAACTACTAATCTGCTTTCTTTCTCTATGGATTTGCCTATTCGGGACATTTCATATAAATAAAATCATACAATTTACAGTCTTTGGTGACTGGCTTTTTTCATTTAGCATAGTGTTTTTCAGAGTTATCCATGTTATACAGTGTATTAGTACCTTCTTTTTATGGCTGAGTAATATTCCATTGTATGGATAAGCACATTTTGTTGATCCATCCATCAGTCAATGGACATTTGGGTTGCTTCCACTTTTCGGCTATTATGAATAATGCTGCTATGAACGTTGGTATACAAGTTTTTGTGTGAACATATATTTTTACATCCTTTGGAGAATTCCACTCTTAAGAGTGGAATTAGTGGGTCATATGGCAACTCCCTGTTTAACCTTTTGAGGAAACACACACATATATATTTAAATTTAGGATCTAATGGTGCATTTTATCTGTTGGAAAGCGATTTATTTTCTGATGTGTGAAGAAAGCAGCTCCAGACCTTTATTTAATACAATTCCAACCCTTTCAAGGTGGAGAGGGCTGTCTCCTTACTAACGGGATTGGCACCATGGGATGCTCTGCCCTGTTGTGTGTGAACCCAGGGACACCGTCGGGAGGTCACGTTGTCCAGGGCTTCCCCAGAGCCATTGGGCACCATTCAGGCCAATCATCTTCTCCTCACTGAAGTGAGAGAACCTCTTCACATACATATTTTTAGTCACATGCGTGGCCATGAGATCACGCTTCTTTAGAACTCTTTGGGTTTAGATCAGCAAGGAAGAGCACATTCAGGAATTTTAAGTGAATAACACTATTTTTGGCTCTTTCCGACAAAACCCTTGTGTAGCCTGTGGTGTCATCGCTCTGCCATTATTAGGAAAATGATGGTCGTAAGTGTGCTCGACTGTCTTTGTTGATTAAAATGACAAAGACAGAAACCTCACAAATGAATCAGCTTGGATTACTGACTCTGACTCTGCAGGTCACAGCAGAAAATAGAACAAGGGGACTGTAAGCAGCAGAGCTTTCTGTGGGACTCGGGGTGTTTTTTGAAGGGTTTCGTGCTGTCAAAAATACGATGAGCACCGAGCTTCTCAGCATTGCAAGGGCAACAAAAGAAAATCAACTGGAAGCGGGGCGCTGCACATGGTCTCTCCTGCAGGAAATTCTCAACAACCCTTTTAAAGTCATTTTAACAAAATCCAATCCCTCTCAGTGCAATTACTGTCAAAATGTCAAAGGAATGAATTTAATAATGTTTTGATAGCAAAGATGGTATACTTTTTCTTTCTCTGATCTCCAGCTTTCTACTTTTTCCTCTCCCTCTTAGGAAATATATTCATAATCTTGTAATGGCAAGGGCTCAGATCTTTTAAAGTTAGAGAAGGTTGGAAATATAGGTATCCTTTAGGAGGATTTCTTTGCTTTTCTCTCTAGAAATCATGTTAATGCATGTCACTGCACACAGACGTAGGTGATTATGTGGTTGAGATATCACATTCAAATGTTTGTTTAGAATATATTCATGGTTTGTCTTTAACAGAATGTCTTGACTTTCAAAGACTTTATACCAGTTATTTTTAGCATTCATAACTTGTCTGACCACTGGTATGCTCTTTGCTGTAGCACTTTCCAGTGGTGGAGGATTTTCTCCTTTGTACTGCAAAGGTGGAATGAATTTCATAAATTATTTTGAAGTGAGATTTTTTCAAATGAATAAGAGAATATAGCATTTTAGACAGGCCCTAGAGTCTCTGGTGGGAAGGTTTTTGAACAAATACATTGGATCATCCAAAAGGATTTAGGTGGAGTTTTTGTGGCTACATGTATACAGTGATTTAAAGGGCTTTTGGGTCTGTGTGGACGATGCATTAAAAACATGGTTTTTGATTAACCACGTTGTTATGTCATAATCAACTTAACGCCCTTAGTTCTTATGATATTAAATCTAAATATTTACTTGTCTATCCAGAACTATTTAAGTATCATTTAAAAGAAGCAAATCTTTAAAAATCACGTAAATATTACAAGTAGAATTTTTTAAAAAGGAAACTAAACTTTTATAAAGCAGATTCCCTTAGCTGGCAGAGAACTTCATACTACACTGGACTTGCTATAACCTTTGTGTCTTTTGCCACAAGAAGGTGGTTGTTAATTTTTACAAAGGTAGAGTTTGGTCTAACTTCTTCATTACTCCAATTTAGAATTGCCAAAGATTTTTTGCATCTAAAATGTAACAAGTTTGGGTTGTTTCCTTCTCCTCAAACGTGCTCACCCAGCAAGATGCCAAAATCTGATGATCTCCCTGTTGTATGTAGAGTGTTGACTCTTAACATGAATCACCAAGAACGCTGATTGTGCAGAGAGGCTAATTTGAGATTCATCTGTTCATTCAAAATAACAAAGTCCAATCAAACTATACCCAACAGACACAACAGAATAGGGTAATGCAATGCAGCCGTCCCTAAGCAGGAAGAGACAAGCCATGGGCTCGCAGGACCAGGAAAAAGAGACACATGATCAAAGGCAGCATGAGCCTGTGCTTGGATGTGTGTCAGCGTCGCAGGTCCCGGGGCCACGACCTTGTTCCTTCATCAATATAGAAAAAGGGTCCTTTGCGCTGAAGAGGAATGTGGTGGGAGTGTGGGGGCGGGGGGGGGGGG